TCTGATTAAAATATACATTCTTTACTTGTATAAAAGTTATAATGACTCTTTGTATCAAGAAAATATATTTATGATGCGCAAAAGTGTCAGTTTTTTTCGATAATTTTAAATGCTCTGTTATTTTAACGGAAAATACGCAGATTAAGCAGCTGGTTAGACTCGGCACCTTTTCGAAAGAACCACACATATCAATTCTATAATCATTTCTTGTGAGCGTCTAACAGGAAATCCATTTCCTGCAACGAGGCCAAAGGCTTTTTACTTCAGCAGCGAAATCAAGTCGGCATGACCTTAATGCTCCAAAGCTACAACATAACATTTAATCTTTAGAAACATGATAGACGTACATTGGCTTTGGACAGTGGACTGTAGGGCGCCATGGAACGAAGCTAGGACTGCCCTATTTAAACTCCTATAGATTTTGTTGTCTAGTGATCGTGAACGATGTACTAAAATATATGTTATGTCACTGTCCAGACTTGTCTAGATCCAAGCACATGATCCAAAGGGGATCGATATTCTTTAACTTAATTTCTTATGTTACCGATATAGAAGTGAACCAAATACTTAATTTCATAAATTCATCTAATATAATATAATACTCCTAAACCTCTACAAAATTTTGAAGATTGAAATCTAATTAATTGAATCAGGTTTTGATCTACTTTCACTTCATCTTTCTGGTTTTCCTATCTGTAAACAGAGATACTATAAAGTTTTTAACTGTTGTATTAAGAAAGCATGTAGCACTTTCTCAATATACAAAACTATGACGGAAATTTTTTTTGAATTGAATCACAATATTTGCACACAATTTGAAATTGATTTTATTATATGGATCTAAATCATAAATGGCAATTTACTAAATATATAACTGCTTAATAAATATAATACAGTCGAAAAAGAGATTAACTAACTATGCCGAGAATAACAACGAAAACTTAAACCAAACATTTGATTGGATAGGGCATATATTGCATTAGTTCTCTAATGTTTTTTCTCAGGGTACATTCGCTTAGACCCTACAAGGAAACCGAGAAAGAGGTACATCAGCTCTATGTCTTACAAACGAACTATGGTATACACACTGAATTCATCTCCAACAATCTATGTATTTGTCTTATAATCTTCGTTTTTCCTACTTTTTATAGGTCTTTTCGGGTTATCACAACAAATATTTTCCTATAGCTGGAAAATTGTTTAGCAATTTAACACGAAATATAAATTATTGGAAAACTTTTCCAAAATCCGTTAACTTTTTTCTAACTCCCTATGCTTCCATATTATATATGAAATGAATCAAAATAGTAACTAATCTTAGTCACTATTATCAAAATTTTTAAAAATAATTATCAATATTTAGTTTAATTTTTATAAAAAAAAATGTATATAGTTAATAATAGTAACTATTGTAACTTTTATATGGAAATAATACAATCAATATTTTATTATGTAGTTTTTTATTTTTATTGTAACTTTGGAGTGATTTTCACAATATTATCTCTTATATTATTTATTTAATATTGTTTACTTAATAATAATTTTTGTTGTATTTTTAAAATTTCTATATTTCTATATTTTTAAAGTGAAATTTTTATTTTAATTTCGCTGATTTAAAGTTTAAATATATTAATTATCTGCATTCGTATATATATCATATATTGATCTGCTTAATGTTCTTAAAGTGAAATGGCTAGAAATATTAATATATGACTAATTTAAATATATTTTAATTAAAAAACTGTTATATTAAAATTTTTAGGGTTAATGAAAAAACTTCAAGTTTTTTATATATTATATATTACATATAGATATAAAAAAAGATAGAAACAACAAAAACTTAAAGTAATTATATACCTAATTTATTTAAATATATATTTTATTTAAATATGTGTGTATTATTTTAACATGTTTTAACATTTGTTAGCTAAGCTTGTTTTGTTATAAACTTAACTGTCTTATTGAACTGCTTTATGAGTTTAGACTAAAAGAGAGAGAATATATTTTAGAATATGGGTCATCGGTATATGACAATGAGCTTAGCGTGCTACAGATTTTGTAGATCATTTCATTAATGGCTTATGAGAGTTATTTGTATTAATGTAAAACTTTATTTATTAGTATTAGAGTTGAGCTAAACAACAGTAATAAATTTTAGGACCGTAGTTTATTTAATTTCATTTTACTATAACACCATAAAGGCTCTAACATAAAATGGCAGTTATTTTAATATTTTTATATATTATAAATATTTATAAACAAAAGATCTATATGTTCTTAATACAGTTAAGAGAAATGCAATTTCTGTGGTTATCAATTTTTATTTTATTCATTTTTACTTATTTAGATTTCATGGACTTTATGCTTAAAAATTTCATTTAAAGATTACTGAGTCAAGTATATATGTATATATTGTATATATACTAATGAAAAGTGAAAGTTATGAATTTAGTAGAAAACATGTACACATAATTTATATTATATATAGATTAAGTTTTTATTATAATTCCTTACTAAAATATAAAAAAAAAACACTAAATTACAATCATTTCTAATTTTGTCTTTATGTTATATTAATTTTTATTTTTTTAAATATTTTTTCCAATAATTGTTGCATTTAATATCACCTACAAACATTTTATTTAGGTTTCGATCATTTTTTACTTGAAACACTTAAGGCGCAGTTTTAAAAGAAAATTCAGTGTTATTATAAGTTGGTATATAAAAGTTATATTTTAATAGGCAAGTATATTGTTATATGTGGATATATATCATACATATGTAAAAAAAGAAAAATAAATAAAAAATAAAATAAAATTAAGGTAATGATGAAAATTTCGAATGTATATATATATATTGTTAGCTTTTTGTGGCAGTCAGTTTGGTTAACTAAATCAGTCCGACCCCACTGGTCCATTGTGATGCCACTGCTAAACATACAGGATATTAGAAATTAAATTACTTTGAAAGTTTGCTATAATAGAATTCAATAAGTATACAAATTTATAGAATCAAATCCAAACTTCATTTTGTTCTAATTGAAAGTTAAAAAATTCTCTCTAATACCTACCAATAAAAAATTTTTATCGATAACAGAGTTAGACAGAAAAATTTTAAATCGGATATATTAATTCTTTTTAAAAATTATACTTATAAACAATAGAGACCAAGTTTTTGAGTTTAAAATTTTGCTTTGATCATATTAATTAATAATTAAAATAAATTTTTTTTTGTTACTATCATAGATAACTAAACTAAATGTTGTGTTTAGAGGTATCAACAAATTTTTTTCTTTATTTCTGCATTAAATGGATACCTCTGAGTTATCATGGTTTTAAAGTGTAAAAAATTATTTCAGCAAAGGCCAAGAGTTCATAATTCTTTTAAAAAATATAAAGTTAGAGATATACAGTGTGGAAAAATTAATAGCATGTTTTTTGAAATAACATATGTGCCTGTGTTTCTTTAACACTTTGAGATCAATTTTCATATGAAAATTTTTAACTTAAAATTTCAATAAATTTATAGATTAAAAGTTTGAGAAATTATTTAACAGTGTATTGTTTGCGCCTACGATACATTTTGATCTTGCTCTGCATTAATGAAATATAAAAATAATTTTTATTATTATTGTTTCAAATTTTTTTTTATTATATTTTAATATTTAAATGCAATTTTATGTTCCACTATAAATAATAGTATTTTTTATTTCTGTTTTTTTTTTTGTTTTTTGTTTTGTTTTTGGCAACATTTAAAACCGTTTACTTTACTTAATGTTTGTATTTATCTTTAACGATTTTCTTTTTATGAGCACATTAAAATGTAAAAAAAATTAAAAATTTGTTACAGTATGATAATGTGAACAATGTTAAGTTAATATGTAAAGTATTATTATTAATCTTCACACTTTTCATCAGCATTTCATTTTATTTACTTGATAGTCACAAATAACAAATTTTTAATTTTAATATCTTTTTCAATATTATTTTTATATATGTAAATTTTATTATAATTACAATTATATGTTAAAAATTGTTCAAAAGGACATTCGCATATATACTAATTATTTTTGTAGTCATAATGAGTAGCTAATTAAAAGCTAAACTGTTGTTAAAATCTTAGTAAAACAACAATATATTTACTCTTAAGCTGGTGCTTGTTTCTTTGTAATTATATTTAAATGTTCATATTTTCAATTTACTCACAATTAATATTATCTTTTTAATTTCATTAAAAATTCACATTATGTTATATATATATTTATATAATATATACTATGCTAAAAACAACTTTAAAAAAGTGGAGCTTTTGGAGCTGTTACCAAGCACACTTGTAATTCACAAATGCTTTTTTCTGTCAATACAGTTTTACAATTACTTTTTTTTTCCATTTTAATTACTTAATCATATATCCTACTATATACCAATTTGAGTACATTTATGCTTAGTTGGTTTTATTCATGCGATATCAATTACTTTGGATTTTTTTTTATAAATACACATATTTTAAATTAAAATATAATTTTAAAAAATCATTTTAAACTAAACAATTTCAATAAAAAAAATTAAACTTGCTATAATTTAAAAATTGACTTATATAGAAATTTAGAGTATATAAATTATTTTTAAACTCTCTCCTTTGGAAGAATTAAATTTCTTTACATATAAATGTACTGCCATTTTAAGCCTTTATTTTATAATAAATCACTTAAAATATAACAACCTAACAAAAACTCCTCCTCATCTTCATACTTCTTTTCCTTCCTTACAATGATATAATTAAAATAATATTTACTTAGAAAATGAATACTAAATTTACTAATTGTAGTAAAAATTTTTAAATAAAAATATTTCATTTATTAAAAATAATACAAAACAATTAATTTCAAAATAAAAATACACACAAAATATTTTGGCCAATTTGCCAGCAAATGCAATTTTTAAATATTTTTTCTAATATTAAAAATACATATAATATAAAATTTAAAACTATAAACATATAAAAAACATTAATAAACTTAATTTACAGTCTCAATCTATGCATTTAACTTACTTCCCCTTTCATTGTAGTTTATATATTTTTTTATTTTTTCTGGATTCGATTAATTTTTATTATTTTTATTTCATTTCTGATTAAAGCCATTTTTACTTTCTGTGGGGAAAACCTGAAGTTTCTTACAATTTTCACAAAAATTTTTTTTACATATTCGTATTTTTTTTAATAGAAAGTTTAACATACTAAAGTCTAAATTTCAAATAACGTTGGCTGTTTTCTTGTTGCTGGTTGCACTCGATTTCGGGTTTTTAAAATTTTAATACCAATTCATATCTTTTCACATTTACTGCTGCGTGCGTGAATTTCCTCAAACACATCTTAAAACTGAATTTCAATATAGAACACTTAGTCCTGCTCCGTAGCTCCAGGATAATAATATGGCGGTGGGCGTTCGTATTCAGATGCTGGTGGTGCCATCGGTGGATTTTGATAACGTGGTGGACCACCATCCCAGTGTCTATAGACAAAGAAAAAAGACAAAGAAAAAAGACAAAGAAAAATAAATATTAATAACAATATATACAAACTCCTCTAAATAACAGAAAATGAAAGAGAAAATTTTGATAGTAGTAGTAGAAATAGAAAGGATATGTTATTTGTGGCAGTGTATACACAACACTGATGTATAAAAATGTGAACAATTAATTCACAATGAATTACAAACGGCTTTAACGAATATGTACAACATATAGAGAAACGTACATAGATTTTAGTTTACTAAACATAAGAGTTCACAACAATAAGACTTATAATTTATTTTTGTATATTTTATAATAAAATAAAATAAAATATGTTGTAAACTTGGTTATTTTTACAAGACCAGAAGTACATAGGTGTGTGTATTAAGAGAGAAAGAGAGAGATAGTTTGATTCATCAGCGTTCAAATATGGTTTCTAAGGTGTGACAGTTAATATAGTGTATTTGATTGCTGTGATTGATGTGTTAGTAAGCAGCGTTCTAAAACATAGTTAGTATATTTAATTATTTAAAAATAAAAATAATAAATAACGAATTTATTGCTTACACTAAATTTGCTAATATATATTTTTAAATGATAATAATTAATATTACAATACTTCAGGATAGAACCTTGTTTTGAAATGATCTACCTAAAGTATCCGGATTTTGTTGTTTGTTAACTACTTCTTAAGTAATAGACATTTTTCAAAAAAATTTTTGTTATGTTGGTACACCTTTTCTTGACATATGGTACAAATTTGAGCTAATGTGAGACTACCTTAAGGGCATTTAGCGATATTTACTATGGAAAATTTTTGATGTACGCGATTTTTTGGCCAAACACGGCACCACTGTCATCAATCAGGCACCATATTCGCCAGATTTGGATGCGTGCGACTTTTTTCTGTTCCCGAAACTCAAATTGCCCCTTCGTGGTAAGCGTTTTGAGTCGATTGAATCGGTAAAAGAGAATTCGCTGATAAAAAAAATTTGGAATAAAATTTAAATTTGTGTGTTTTATTTACAAAATCCGAGTACTTTTTGAGCAGAAGGTAAATAATAGTAACATATATGCATATTATATAAAGTTAGGTTCAACTAATTACGAACGATTCACTCAAAATTTAATGGTTATCTGATCATTTCATCAACGTCTTAAATTGGTCGACCTATCGTTCTAACCTTAATAGAAAACTTTTAACAATACCTTAAATTGTGATAAATTTAATAGAGATATCTAGAAAAATGGAATATAGCTTCCAGAAATGTCTTCCAATATTTTGTGACCGCAATTTCTCTCAAATTGCAGCAAGTTCTTATTCAAAACCATGGCTTCGCCATAAAATATTAATTTTTTTTTAATATATACTTTTGAATTTTAAAATTTTGTTTGAAAATGTTTCTAATTAGTTGAACGGCCGATTTTTTGTGTTTATGAATTTTTTTTAAATAATAGTTTTGAGAACCTTGAATTACAGTAAAATGTTTAACTATATGTATAAAAATAATTTATAATTTATTTTGTTACAGTTGTTGCTTTTCTTTCGCAAATATTTCATACAAAAACATAAACTTATATATCTAAGCTACTTATTATTAAAAATTAGACAAAGATAACTATATATTATTAGATAATAAAATTATATTATTATTGGATATTAGAATTATTAGATATATTATACATTAATGCAATGTTTCTAATTAATTATTTTTATAATAAAAATTTAATTTTATGTTCGATAAATTTTTATTAATTATTTGTTAGTGATCATATCGTATAAGCTATAATGATAGATAAACTCAATCAACTGATGGAAATTGACACCATCATCAAGCACATAAAAAGACAACGCTTGAAAAGGAAAGGACACGTTCTGTGGATGCCAGAAGAGCAGCAGCCAGACCAGCAGAAGATTGAAGTTAGAACAACGAGAAAAAAGTAAGATAGAGAGAGAGAGGGAGTGACAGTGTTCGACAAGAGCTGAGAGATATGAATGTCATCAACTATAAGTTAAAAGCCAAAAATAGAGAAGAATGGAGGAATGTCGTAAAACAAGTTAAGATCCTACATGGACTGTGTAGCTATTGATGATGACTTGTTAGTGATCAATTTATTTATAACTATTAATTTTATAATACTAATAAATTGTAATAAAATAATTTTTTTAAATAAACATATTTTAAGATATTTTGTTTTTTTTTTCGAAGGTTAAATTATTTGAACTGATCGAAGCTTGTTTCACTTAGCTTGTCGTCGCTTAGCGAAATCTCTAGAGTAGTAAAGATAGATCATTTGATTCAAATGTGTATTAAAGGAGAAAAGATGATGATTATGTTGTAATATATGCTAAAAGAATATGGGGTGTGATTAGGGTAGTAATTAAAGCTAGTCTGGACCAAAGAGGAACCTCATAATTTCAACGAGATACAATCAATAATCAATGGGACTCAAAATAATGTGTTGTGACATATAAATTGATGTACGAAATCAAGAGAAATAGAGTGAGTTGTTTTAGCACATGTTGACATTAAACATACTTTAAACAAAGTGAAAAGTAACTATTTGGTATGTAATTGGTCAAACTTGAACAATTCATCATGGTCCCAATGGATAATGCATTAATGTGCCACACAAGGTAAAATTTATTTCACAGCAGTTGATTATATTCTTTTACAAAAATTATTTTAGATCGAGGTTTCAAGAATTTTACTGCTTATGCTAGCTGTGGTCAAATATGCGAGACACTAAAAATTTTTGGCCACCATATTGTATTCGAATATAACCTGTTATAAGTATCTTTATATAAAACTGAGCAATCTGATATACTCGAAATTTTTTTATTTAAATTGGTGGATTCAAATGGTCGAAATCGATATATTCGTGGTGATTCAATATAATAATGTTCGAACAGTACCAGTTCAGATTATTGCTTATTAATATCCTAGGAACACTTCTGTTATTAAATACTAGACAAAGATAGAGGAAATGCTAAAATTACATATCAATAATGTTTATATCGAAATCATACAAATTATAAATAAATTTAAATTTTTGTTATAATTTTTAGTAAAATAAAATTACAATAAACATACTGTGATAAAATTATTGCTGTAAAATGTAAAATATAGTATAATACTTGTATATATATATTATTTAAAAAAATTCGATATAAATTCTATACTTTATTTTATTTATTATATTTTGTTTTTTTATTCATTTTGTTTTTTTATTTTTCTATTAAATTTTCTTTATATTAAACCTAATAAAGATGTCTTTTCTAAGCAGTACGTATTTTTTGAACACCCAAATAGTTGTGTAGCAGAAGCATTGAAAGTGCAAAAATCGAATTGCATATATGTGGTATCTCATTTTTTTTTACAATGTCTTCGAATTATTTTATTAATATTTATTATATGTTTTTAGATGAATGTTACAAACAAAAAAAAAAAAGAAAAAATGCAGTCATATGACACGAAATGGTTAACACATTATGATTTTCACTAGTTGTTGATGTTTCAATGAAGTAGTATTCGAAAAAAACAATATAAGCCAGAGTTAAATGTATGACGAAATGTTTGACTACAAGCACAAAATATTAAATTATTATTTTTAAAAATAAAAAACTTATACTCTCACTAATGTCTGCAGTAGTGGTAAATAGGCATCCTTAAAATTAATAAATGGCTTTGAAGTAGCTTTACTTAGTTACACATTATGGCACCAACTCTGTATGCACTTTTGTTTAGTAATTGCCTTGCTTTGGCATTTGACACAATTGGGAAGTTTGGTTAACACTTGTTATTGGTGTCGTAAATATATAGTTTTAACAATTATAACGCTTGGAAAAATAATGTAATGAGTTATATTATATTTTTGGGTTAAAGAAGTAAATGTTTAGTAATGTAAAGCACACGCACACATCATCACAGGTAGATAATTTATACCTAAAAGAAACCATCTGCCGTCAGTGCTTTTGGCCTTGTATCAATAGCCCCAACAATAGCTCTAAAGAAATTTAAGAAATATAAATTAAAAATAAAAATATAAATTGTATTATGTTGATTTCCTTTTAACACAGTTTAATATTTTTAAATGAAATTTCGATATATATTAAGTGTTGTTAGAATACCAATATGAGCTTGAACATCTTAAAACATTATTTAGTTTATTTATGTTAAAAATATAGTATATAATTATGAAGTAAATAAATTCTAAGCATTCCAAGAAGACGTTTAAAGGCTACCCAAAAATATTTAATTATAATATAATTAGACAAATAGACTTAAATAAAGTTTTGTAAAAACTTTATATCAAAATGCAAAAATTACTATAAAAAAATATATCTATAAAAATTCAAGGCAAAAAGCAAATATCGAAATAACAAAGAATTATACTTACTTGGGCGCCATATCATTGTAACGTGTATCACGTACACCAGACGCCGTGGATGGTGCTCCATGCCCACCAGAACCTACAGTTTCTTCATAGTATTCTCGTCTGCGACGATCTTTATTCTTTCGTCGTTTATTTTTGGGTCCGCTATAAGAAAGCAGGGATATAATGAAGATTTGCAATGAAATGTTTTAAAATGATTGTGTAACAAATTAAATAAATAAATTTAATAATAACAAACCTAAAATAACTAAACAAAAAATATAACAGTACACATAAAAAATTTTAAATTAATCATTTTCTAAAATATATAAAAATAATGCAAATAAAAAATAATAAAAAAAAGAAAACGTAATATAGTAAAACAAAGATAATGTAAATAAAAACTAAATAAAAATAATATATAACAATAATATATAAAAATAATAAATAAATTATTTGAAATATTAAAAAAAAAATCAAATTTAGTATTAACTAATAAGACTAAAAATTTTAAAGATTTAAATAGTTACAAGCATTATAATCATTCCAATTACGTTCTTAATGAAATATGTATTAAATATAAAATTAAATGAAAAATTTTGTTAATTTTTTTGTGGTTCATTATTTTAAAAAACATAGTTTACGAGTGTGTCGAAGAAAAAATTTGAAGCAAGCCGTGAATTGTTTTTTAGGTGCAGCCTAAAACTATACTTTAGTAATTTTTTTTGATTTAAAGAAAATTTAAATGGTATGTAAAAATAATATGTATTATCATAATTTTGTTTATAATATGTTATAACATCAACAGTGTCAGTTCATATAAAGCTTGTAATTATTCATAAAGAAAAAATGAAAAGAAGTTTAATGAAACCAAAATGAAGACTTACTTTGCCAATGGAATATGATCACGCTCACTGTAAGCATCATACAAATACTCCCTGAAAATTATTTTATTTTTAGTAAATCAAGAAAAACTTTAACTTGAACAAATACAACGAATTAAATACAACTAATTAAATACAAAAAAATACATACAAAATCTTAAAAACATACACTGTTTCTCTAACAAACAAACATGTATAAAAAAAAACGATTTTTAAACATCAAGTTAATTAAATGACAGATAATAGAAAGCTAAAACCTACGTGGAAAATTTAATCATGTAAATAATTTATATTTTTTATATAAATTGTTTCCTTATTCATTAATACATATATATATGTAGAAAAATACACATTTTTCATTGTTAATAATTTCTGGAAAAATTTTTCAAATCTATAGTTTTTGTTTCTTTAAGATTATTATATTGATAAGTAAAGCTACCTCTCAGATATTTTTATTTATTTTTTAAGTAATAATTTCATATGACCATTTCACCTAATTTTCTAAATCCAATATCGAATACAATTATTTAAAAATAATAATAATATTATAATATATTATAAAATTGTTTCTACAGTTTTCTAAATTTTATAATAATAAATATTAATAATTTTTAACTTTTTATTTTAATTGATTTTCATTTTTTGATTTAATATTATAATTTATAAAATTATTTTATGTTGTATATTACTTTGAAATAGAAATAAAAATTATTACTAATATATTGGATGCTGATAATAGTTTGAAGAATATTGGGATGCAACAATGAAAACTTTAAAAATCAAAAACAATGAAAGAAAAAAATTAGAAGATGCAAGGAAAGTGTAACAAACTTATTAAAAAAAACTACCAAGCTGTTATGTGAAATTTAAAGTAAATAACTATTATATATATAGTATATATGACAATATATAGTACTTACGACTCTACTAAGGGTCCAGGATAGGGGTCTGATTTTTGATATAAGCTTGCCAATTTAACAGCTACAATAAGGGTTGGCAAGAAAAGCACAACACATACTATAACACCAGCCCAGAAACCATTCTGTAATAAATTGTTTAATTATTTACTATACATATAATTTTAAAAATTTTAAGAATTTACCCATGGATCTACAATACGATTGCAAGCAGCAACAACACCCGCATCATACACTCGTGCTAATGGTTCACACAATCCAATCTTATTTTCTACAGAATCCACAACCATGCCTAAGAAGCGTACAATTTCACTAGAGAAATAATTAACTAAACTTTCAGCAGTTTCCTTAACAAACTGTCTACCATCCTTTGCAATAAATATTTGTGCACGATCAATTTCATTTACTAATAATGGTATTGATTCTTGGAATGAATGCTCCTTATAACGTAATATTTTATCTAAATCACGCGCTAAATTAATTAACTGGGATGACTGGTTTTTCATGGGTATAACAAGATTTTGCTCATATGTCTCAAGATGTAATGCTTGATTGCGCAGACTCACTTGTACATCTTTCATTTCACTACTAGTGATCCGTGATGCAGTTTGTCGCAATTTTTCAGAAATCTCGGTAAGGGAATGTTTAGTTATGGTATCGTTTAGATTATCAATAAATTGGCCTGAATCGAAGTATTTGATCGCCGAGTTGCCCATTTGAAGAATACGTTCTTTATCCGCATCACTAAGTATTTCTATATTCTCATTATCAAAATCAATGCCATTTACGAGATTATCAAGAGTTTGATTAATTTTATATTGTGCAGGATATTCGTTTATTTCTTGAATATCTATACGATTTTGTATTCGCAAAACCTCAAATACGGTATTATTCGCCTTACAAGATGTTATAGCATGCGATATACGGAATGGTGGTAAAGTTCCTGAGGCAGCTTTACCATTGCCTTGTGAAGGATATAGTACATTATTCAAATCAATAGAATTATCCAATAGTGCAAAAATTTCATCGTTTTGTGGATCCCTGAAAATAGTTTGAATTAATGATTAAATTATAATTTCGATAGGTAATGTAATTATAAACCTACTTCAATGGTACACACACTCCTCGATATGCAACTAAACCTAAAATAAAATGTACTAGACAAACCAAAGCAATAGCAGATAATGTCAAGAAAATTAATGCCACAGCGCTGCAATAAAAAGGTCACAGTTAAAAGACGACATCAATTAAAATGAATAAATACTTCACACTTACATCATGAGGAAGCGTGATCCGGAGCCTTTATTGCAACAATCATCACCATAACCGTCAGGCCGTTTACCACAAATACCACATAGTAACGCCATTACTAAACAAATAAGTATCTAATAATTAGAAAAAATATAATTTAATTAAACAATTCATACTCCTATAGTTAGCAATTCATTTACCAACAACAGAACTGTGCAAACTCCTATGCCTATATAGAACCGATATGGTCCATATTCATTAAGATAGTCATCTGCAACTCCAGTGTATTTGTCAGTTTTAGTACCAATTAAATTAGAAATCTTTTTCAATTCAGTTTTAATATCATTAGAAGCCTTCTGGAAGCTTTGACCTATAAACCATATATATTATATACATTTTTTAATACATTATTATTTTTTATTAACAAATTGCTACACTTACCAGCTTTGTTAATTGCCTGTATAATTTGTGGTGTATGTTTAGCGATTGTTTCATTCAAATGCTTACGCATGTTGTCCAGAGCAGTTCGTCCGCGATTGCCTGCAGCGGCAATGTTGTCATTTATTAATTGTTCCAAATTTTCAATTATTTCGGTAACATCAGGTAACTATGAAAATAAAAATATTTAATTAATTTCATATTAACAAAAATATTAAATTAATATTTATTTTGTATGAATGTATATGAGAAGTGTTGCATATTCAGCATCTCGCAATCTTTGAAAATTACTTTGATGTTGTAGAAATAATAAAGGAGCTTTTCAACATTTACTACTGTAATAAATATTATTAATTAAAATAAATTTATATTTTGTTGTTAGTAATCCATTTCTTAAGTTAGAATATATTTAATTTATTGGCTCATCTTATTTAAATAACAACAAATAAAACAAAATAACAGTTTAATCTTTTCGTTTGAGTTTTATTTGATGTTTTCCGATTTTTTACTAATTTTTTTGTATTGTTATAACCCATCGCTGGTTTGATCGTTTATATGAACAATAAAAGTGGTGTGGTAGTTGTAGTTGTAGTAACCTGAAAGGACCCTTAGCGCAGGAAACATAAATGGATTTCAAAAACGAATATATAGGTTATGGTGGAGTGTAAGAATAATTAAGAGGAGTTAGGGGTGTTATATAGGAATAGGGGAAGGATGTAGATGTGTAAACAGCCGGGTCTATTTCTCGTAGTTACTGGTAGTACTCGTCTATGCAGATGACTAAGCTTGACTCGATCTTTCCAACAGGGACAATACCAATATCTTCGCTACTTCACAAACGCATGGTAATAACTTCTAAAAGTTGCGCCTTGTCATACAAGCCGAAGGCTTTAACGTTGGTGTTAAATAATCTTTTTATGTACAGAGAAATGTCAAATAATCTTCGCGTTTTATGAAGAGTTCGAATGGCTTCCTAAATTTCTATAAATCTGTCTTATTGACAGCCGCCCCCATTTGAAATCTAGGTACCTAAGTAACAAAATTAAAAACATGTTCAATGATTAAGTTTCCTAGTCTGGAAAAGAAATTCGCATTATACCATACATTATACTGTAAATGCATAACGCATATTAAAATAATCATACAGATAATGGGATATAGTGTAACGTATATAGCTGAGGAAATAGGTAAGTATTATAAATCTACGTTTGTGCTCAGATGATAATTTTATGTACCTGAACAGAGCGAATCATAATCGAATTTGACTTCGATTCTGCTGCTGAATTTATCTGAATAGAGATAAATTCGAACCTATCAAGGGATTCTTTTTACAGACCACGTTTAGCAGTCGAAGATAGTAAGGTTTCCACAAAATTCAAGCACGTCTTAATAAAAGCTTAAATCCTCAAAATTATATCTAATTTAATTTAAGTAGAGTGATTAAAAATTAGGAATTATCTAACTATTTAAGTATGCAGTAAATAGAATAACATAAATCTCTTTGTATGATTTACGTGAATAAAAATTGACGAAATTTATTTTATCATCATTTGTTCCCGTATAAATAAATTATTTATCTTGGATGGTAAATTGATTTTTGAGGTGACATTACATTTAAGCTGTAAAAAATTATTTTTAGCAACACTTCTACTAAATGAAAGTTGTTAATATGCTGTGATATGAATAATAAATAAACAAATAAGTATCTAAATATATTTCAAACACACTTTTTCTTTTATTTATAACAAAATATTAAATAACATTTTATTCTTTTTTCTTTTTAATAAAATACTTTGTTATAACATACCTTTGGAAAGTATCTGTCTACCATCTTCATGCAGCATGATAAATAAATTTTTAATAAATGCATTAAATGAATCAATAAAATGCTTACAGAATATTTAATATATAAACCATAAATTTATATTTATATATACGTATTTGTAAATAACTTAATTTACTGCCTACCTGATCATAATGTATGCCATTTGCATCCAATTTGCCAATTTCGTATTTGGTTAAAACTTCCTGGCAGGCTTCTTGATTACATTTAGTGAGCATAAGAAGCAAGTCACGTTTAACACCGCGTAAACCTTTAAAGAGAATTATTTATTTGACAAATTTAATTACTTTTAATTATTTTCAAAACTAACCGTCACTCAGTTGAGAGGCATAAACACGCAGTTCATTTGTTATTGTCTTCATATGCTGCAGCTTATCTCGTAGTTCTGGTAACTTCGCTAGAAAATCTGTCAGATATTGCAACGAGACCGCCATAGACTTTCGTTCTAACTGTGTTATAATAAATGAAGACGTTTCTGAAACGATGAAAAAAAATAATAAATATTAAAATAATATATATAAAATTTATATCTAATGTCTAAAATTATAATAGTAAATCGCAATGACATATAGCTGTAGTTTATGCGTTCATTTTAACATAACACAGCAAGTGAAATTCATAAAACTCTTAGTTTGAATAAAATAAATCAAGTACTATTTTCAACAAATTTAACAGCGATATACGCTGTTAAACCCTTGGTAATTGTAGTCTAAAAACTATTCGAAAACGACAAAATATTAAAAAAAAAATATTTCCAAAGGCCCACTAATAATGTTTATTTGGCAATGTCCAAAACAGGTATCATATTTTTCAATATTTTTCGATTGAAAAATAAAATGTTGTTGTAATTCACTATTATTTAACACTTTTCTATTTACAAATAAATCTTCGTCGTGTTAACATATTAAATAAATTGAATAAGATTGCAGTTTAGTTCATAAAATTTACCCCTTAAAATGTTTTCGAGTTGATCCGAGAGTTGTTTATAGTTAGTAACCAAGATATGATCAATTTGTTCTGAGGTGACACCAAGGAATTTTTGTGTATCAGCACTACCAGCTCGTACCGCATCAGTGCCGCTGTCAACGCCCATTTGCATGTAGCTATTGGTAGCGAATGCAATGATAACTCCAAAACTACGAAGCAGAAAAGTAAAGAAGGGAAAAAACATATAGTTACAAATTAGTTAAAAGCTCAAAATAAACTGATATTCCTGGTAAATTCAATATGAAAGCGGATATGTGTTACATTGATTTACTCACACAATGCCTGTGGCTAACAGTATGAGCAGGAAACCGAGAAATACACGTCGACAAGTATCATGTTTTTTATCAAACGGCTCCGAACGTCCACCGCAAGCACCAGCACAACGGCAGCAGCAAAAGCATAATCTAAAAAATAAATACGTAGTAAGGATGATAAAAACAATGTTTATAAAAGGAAAATGAAAAAAAAATGTTTAATATTGGTAACAGGGGCAACATGACTTACCCAATAATTGGCATCGATATGACCAGCAAACCCACAATCAAAACAACCAGCAAAATAATCCAATAATGTTTAATTAAATCTCCCCATTCGTTTCGTTCAACTTTTGGACCAAGTTCTGGCTTCATATCCTTAATGGTGATGTAGCCTACAGAGCAGAATAGAGTAAAAAGTTAATAGAATTTTAATTTAATGTGAATTTTATGTAAATTTTTCTTTTTATTTTTTAACATAATTTTCTACTTTATTTAACAGAAAATTTATGTTATTTGTAGGAAAAGTTGAGATTTATCCAGCAGGTGAAGTCATTTTTGAACTAATTAAAACTTATTTCTTCACAGCAAAGTGAAATATATGGATGGTATTAAAAATTTAACTAAATTGAAAACAGGATTGTTGATATACATACTTAACCATTATAAAATATTAATTTTAAAAACTTTAATCCTTTTATTACAAGAATAATAGTGCTCGTAATATTATCATATAAATAGCAAGGATCACTTTTTGTAACCACAAATCTTAACATGTGGAGATTTTATACTGCTCTAGACTTATAGCCATCGTAGATCTCTTTTATTTCGACGAGTAGTAACTAGAACTTTGAGTAACTAGTTTATGCAGAGTTTACCCACAAATATTTTTTTCTCATTTTTGGTGCTGTTAGTTAGCACTTTTTCATTATATATTAATAAATAAAAAAAGAAATAACACAAAAATCAAAGAATAGTAATAGAAAGACTTATAGCTAAAAAATATACTTTTAGTTTAAAATTGTATATTCCAGATCTATCTACTAACATAATCACAAAACAAATATGTTTTACCATATTTAATTGGTTTCGAGTGCATGTATTGCTGGAATGGTCATATTCTTTGAAAGCTACCAGCTTTGAACTTCAAAGACAATTTCGGACAGTATTGTTGTTAGAGTATGTGACACTGTGACCGTCGAATCTATTGTGTCCCCTTCTGGGTTTAGAATAGGTCTCTAATCCCTGTTGCGTCAATAAAGAGTAGTAGTAGTAGAACCTACTTTACAAAATTTTATTGTCCATTCCATAAGAATATACATTCCCAGAAGCCTATTCCGTATGTGCATTAGCGCATTGCATTCTAACAGCACTTCGGACAGAGTACTTCCAGAATTTTTTGTTATTCATATTAAAGCTTATTTTTTTCTTTTTTTTTTTAATCCTGTGTATTTATTATAATCTGTTATATTTTATTTTACAATCAATTTTGCAACTATTTTGGTTAAGCTATTAAAGACATATACAAAGGCTCGCATGGACTATATTTAATGACATATCTATATTTATTTATGTGTAATTTTAGATTAATGCTACTTTTTATTTTATTCTATTGCTTTTATATTGTAAATTAAGAAAAGAAAAGTGAAAAATAAGAATGTTAAATATAAGGACATATTTTCATAAAGCGTCAGTTGTTGAATACGTCTTTAGTCTATAAAGACCGCGAAACATTATGCTACAAATTTAAGTGTTACATTACGATTTTTGGTAAAAAGAATAAGTTGGAAGGTATATTTGAAACTTACAAGATTAACTCACAAATGAAAATATGCTAACTATTGGTTAATTCACTGACTATAATGTTGAGATTCTATAAATTTTTTTGAAATTCCTAGAAAAAACAAACTATCATTTTTTTAGCGGAAATATATGGAATCGATATATGTGTTTACTTTAAGAGAAATACCGAAGATAAAGAATAGTCAAATCGGCTAATAACCAGGTCGTCATCAATGCGCTTGAATTACAACTAGATTTTATGGGTTTACGGATGGGTTTCATTAATGCGCTTGAATCACAACTAGATTCTAAGGGTTTCGAGATATCGTAATGTTAAAAGTAATGAAATGTCAACTAAACTTAACAAGATATGAAGGTTAAACCATTAGCTAAATTAACTAGAAATAATTCAAAATTGAATTTGCAAATGTTGTATTTGTTAAGAGTTTTGTGAACTCGTAGGTGAAGACCTCAGTTCTTCAGACGATGACTTAAATTACAATAAAAAAAAACAAATAATACTATTTATTGAGCAAAAAGAAAGTAGAGAATCTTTCAGAGTCCATTATAAAGGGAACACATAAGTCCTTAAGGTCGCAGTGATAAATCATCTCATTATAGTTATAATTTATGAAGTCTAATAAAGAAAATAATATATAATCGTTAAATATTATTAGAATTTTAAAATTTATATATATAATTTATATATATTACGTTAAAACATAAATACAAAAAGATATAGAATTTTTTTTTTGTTATATATTTAAAATTGATTTATATAGTTTTTTGCAATATTTTTGTTACGTATAAACATGTACCCGTATATATATATAAATGAGTACTACGTACCTTCTGGTATTGGATGTTCTCCAGCTATAAACCACAATACTTTGTATGTAATATCGTAAAGTGGTTGCATACCACGTGCATTATATGCAGTTGAACTGAAATATGTGACATTCTTTGACCATTGTGAATACTTTGTGGGCTTCAGATTTAGTTCATTGCCCATGTCGATGGCATGACAGTCGGTAGGAAATGTCGTGATAACAAATATCAGCAGGCACATGCTTAATGCAGCTGTTGAAAGCAAATAATTCTGGCGTTGCGGAAATTGCCATCTTTGATGTTTTGTTGTTGGTGCCGCAGCAGTTTTTGTTTTTCGTTTCGTTTGTGACGTCATTTTTTTAATATCTTCCTCTACTAATCTATTGAATTTATTTTTATTGGAATGTGATGTTAAATTGATTTGATTAAAAAAATTTCTTGAAATATTTAATAATTTGTAGCGCATTTCATTAATAAATTCATTTGGCAGCATTTTTCACTTTTTGTTGCATTTATGAAAATTATGTTGTTGTAGTTGTTTTAGTTTTAAGGTAAAATGTTGCTTCATTTGCAGTTTTTCGATGCTGATGAGATTTGTGGGAGTGAAGTTCGTTACTTACGCCGGCTACATACATTCGAAATAATTATTAAAGCTGCAAAGAAAGAGAAAAAAATATTATTATTTATATTTAGAAAACTACTTATTAAATATAAAAAAAAAAAACAACAACATATGTAAATATATTTACTGCTTTCAATTAACCAACTAGCTTAGTTTCATCTGGATTAGGCGAATTACTTAAAATAAGCATGCAACAACAACTAAGCCATTATGTCTAAGTTATAGGACTCGATATTATAGTATATTAGCCTAGCTCTTTAGCCGAGATAAGCTCTTTGTATTAAATAATAAATAAAATATAAGACACATCAGATATTTTATACTAAGTATGTGTTATAGTTGTAGGCAGAGATGCTTTTTCATAAATAAATCTGCACAGGTTCAGAGATATAAACATAGATATGTTTGTATTTATTAAATATAATAAATTTTTCTTGCTTTATAAATAAAAAGCAGCTTAATATACTCAACAATTTTACTTTAATAAGCACGATTGAGTTATTTTTAGTACAAATTTTCGTTCTATTAAAATTTAGTACATTTTATGGAACATACAGCAACAAATCCAACAGAACTGAAGCTACATTACCCACTTAAGTTAATTGAATCACAGACAAAGACACCAAATTGAAAATTTAAATCAATGGAAAACTTAAATCCAAGATTATAGAGGCATAAAAGTATGCCGAGATGCACAAATACATTTTGAGATTTGATTCAGATTTTTATTTCAGTTGTAAAATAGGCTTCCGCGAGTGAGTTCGTAAGTTCAAAATATGTTTAACATAAAATACTTATATGCAATAATTTGTACTCTTCTTATTGCTGAAGTACTAGAAGCAAAATGTAAGTGAACGAGTAAATATAAATATATTTTTAAATATATTTTCATATTATTAATTATTGTGTCCATAAGTTTATTCTAAAGCGATTGCACAAACTCGCTTGATATCAGATCTATTAACTGATTACGACTCAGGAGCTAGACCTGCACCTAAAGATACACGCATAGATGTTTGTGTGAATCTTACATTGCAGCACTTTGATTTTCGAGAACAAGATGGCGCATTTAATTTTCTGGGACGCTTAGATATGGTGAGTATTAGTAGTAAATGAAACAATTCATATCATAACAAACGCATGTTTAAAGAAATGGCATGATCAAAAATTAAAATGGGATCCAAAGGATTACAATTACCTAACACAAGTGCCTGTTAAGCAAGCCGCCATTTGGGTGCCCGATTTGGAAATATATAACAACGTACCAGATAAATTTTTGCGCTTACATGAGAATGGCATGATTATACTCGAAAATACAGGAGATGTATTTTGGTCAAGTAACATTGAAATGGTTGCTTATTGTAGTACAAATATGCGTGATTGGCCGCATGACAAGCATTTCTGTAAATTGAGTTTAGGTTCTTGGACATATCATGGCTTAGAGGTGGATGTTATACATAGCAAACCAAATGCAAGCATGAAATTTGAGAGTTTCGAGGGAAAACAAAATATGCAATATAAAGTAACAGATTTTCACGCAGAACACGTTTCTACCGTTTATGCTTGCTGCACTGAACCCTACATTACGATGGACTATCACATAACATTTGAACGGCAAGCCTCATTTGCTATTGTGTTCCGTATGCCTGCCATCTGCATAATTATATTGACGCTACTGTCATTAAGCATGGAACCATGGCGTAGTGAAAAAATTTGGTTAAATGGTGTCAGCTTTATCATCATTACTTTTAATTTAATTTATTTCGCATTTAAAGTCGGAAAATTTGCACGCCGCACACCGTTAATTGGTATATAATATTTAATTACAGCATTTACAATATTAATCATATTTAAATTTCATTTAGTGGTATTTTACAGTTGGAGTTTAGTGCTAGTTACATTGGCTTCTTTAATTTCTGTATTTACTTTATTCGCAACACGTTCTCGTCTCAGGCCAAGGATGCCTAGACGCATTGTGGCTCTACTCAAAATGCCTTTAATTCAGTTGATGATACCTAAAAATTGGAGCTATGAAAAACATGAACACACCACGGAAGTTGATGCACAACACTTTGAAGATGTTAAATTGCAGGAGTCCAGCAATTTAATCAACGACGACAATGCACCTTATCAGTGGATACAGTTGGCCATTATTGTAGAGCGTTTCACTTTAGTTGTGTTCGCTTTAATATTTTTAATTTTAGGCTCAACATGTTTTGTTTAAATTAAAAATATATTTGTATTATGAGAATTATTTCAAAGCAATATAAACCACATAAATAAATAAACTATTTGCTTTTTTTTTCTTTTTTATGTAGCGGTTTTTTTTTTTACTTCAAAAAATTATATATCATTTATAACTTACAGTGAATTGTGACAATTTTTTAATACTCTGATACTGCACTTTGATTTTTTCAGTTCGAAATTTAGATAAATTATCTTTGAATAGAAACTGTCTATAGATGAAGAAATTCCTAAGTCTCATATCATTAAATCCAGATATATGCTTATAAAATCACACAAATTGGACTTCATAGTTTTTGTGCTTGTCACAACTTAGATTAGATAATTAGAAATTATAGTACATATGCTAGCATTAGCAGACAATAAATATAGAACCCGAACAATAATATAAAAAAAATATTTTTAAGTGGATTTTTAATATTAGATATATAGGTATTAGAAGGATTCCTTATAATCCTAACTGCAGAAGTTGTGGAAACCCGCAGGACAAAGAAACCATAATACATTATCTCTGTGAACGCCCAGCTTTGGCGTCCGAAAGATATAGGTTCTTAGGAAGACACTTTGATAGACTGCCAATCGGGGAACACGAAAGACCTATTAAATTATCTAAATTCGGCGGCATGAATTTAATCTCTACTCTTCTATACTAGAGTTCTTACGAGAAATCTGGTAGCAAAACGGCGGAAAATCGCTAATTGAGGTACATGGAAGTTATCTAATGACCTGCCACTGCAACCAACCATATTAGAAGTATCATATTTTAAAGAATAATGATTTTTAGTTGCTCTAGTTGCAATTATAGAGTATATCTCTAGTTAAAGTTGCAGTTGAGTGCCTGCAAGTCAGTGGTACGATAAAAATTTCTCTGGTGCTAATTTTTTGTTTTATAATATAACAATAACTTAACTTCTCTAGATTCTCTTGGGCTTCAAGGTTATAATAAAAAAATGGGTGCACTGGTTGTCTTTATATAGCGTTATTTTTCAATATCACAAGAACCAATCAAATATAGATATACAGCATAGTTAGCAAAATTAGTTATAATTTTAAAATTTACCAAAATATCTTGTCAAAACGCGACATCCGGGTAATCGGATTATCTTCTTCAAATGTATGTAAACAGTTCGCGTTAAATAAAAAATTTCTAAACAATGATATATATTTACTTTAACTTCATATTATAAAATAATATATACAACTTTATCAGCATTTTTTACCGTACAAATGAAATACATTTTTATAAATAAATTATAATTGCAAATAATAAAATATGCACAATGAAGGCACATTGTGAAGCGGCACAAAGAATTTAATTAAATTTCCTTTTGAGATACATATAAAACATAAAAAAAGAAAAATGTATCTTTGTAAATATGTAAATTCATCACTGCGTGTTTTCTTACTACATACTGACATACAATATACAATACTTTATCTTTTTGTGTATGGTTGAACATTTCTATTTGCAATTTTATGTGCAAGCAGATACGAGTATGTAAGAATATTTCAATTGTAAATCGCTACTGAGTGACCATAAAATGAAATCAAGATATCTATGAGTAGATACTTTACAAAAGCGAAGTTGAGTACATAAATATGCTGCCACAAACGCACACTATTCTTTCTCCACAAATACCAGAACGGATACATAAATAAATAGGAAAAACTATAGAGAAAAGTACTGTAAAGTGTAATAATGTAGCGCAAACAACATATCAGTTGATTCACATATCTGTTAAAAAAAAAAGATACTTTACAGTTCTTAAGTGAGTACAGTAACATGACGAATGACGGACAAGCAGGCATAAACCGACTGGCAAAAACACATAGCTGTTAAGTTGATTTATGTAAATGATTAAAGATATATAAAACACACTTGTAGTAATTCATGGATATTGTTTTTTTGTTTTTCATTGTTTTCCAGTTTGAAGATTTGCTCGTACAATGAAATAAAACTTAAGTCATTGCCTGCCTGCCTGCCCAACTTCCTCAAACTCTTCAAGCTTCTTCAAAGTTTTTGTTTACGTGTGTGACTGCCTGAGTTCGTTATTCGGATTTTTAGGCCAGTAGGTTTTGTGAATTTCGTGTTTGAATCCATATCAAAAAATTTGCATATTTATGGGTCAACGATATTTTCCGACTTACATATTTGGTGTGATTTCAGTTGGATTAAGAGATTATATAATTTAAATTAATTATACACATATTGGGGAAACCATTCTACTCTTTCTTTTCCAATTGCTTGGAAACATTAGTGTTATTTCTTTACAACTGCAATAAAATGGAGTACAATAAAAATGATTGTCACCTTAACAAATGTAAATTTGTTTATAACTTAATGGCATGTTATTATAAATACATTTAATTAATTTTAACCAAATAAAAATATTATAGTTGTTTCTTTTTTTTGTTTTTTGAACAAATAATGCATACTCGTATATGGGCAGAGCAAAAACTGCTCTTAACTGTTGGAGAGTTACGAAATCAACTAATTTAATACATCCCACACAATTTAATGGATTTTAAATTTTATTTTGATATTAGAAAAGTAATAAATTATATAAAAAAACAACTTTTTAATACGAGAGTAAACGACAAGTTATTAGAAAAACTATTAGAGGGCACTTGCAGTATTGTCTCAGTCATTATCATTTGATAACTAGCATCTTCTAGTTGTTAACACCATCGCAATTAAATCAGGAAATATACAAAAATGTACTAAGAAAATTCGATAATTGTTAGTGGAAATATAGTTAGTTTACTGTTAAATTTTAAGAGCAATTAATCGAAAACCGGTAAACCGAATGATCATTGAATTTTTTGCAAAAATAAAACTTCATATGAAACGTTTAACACCAAGAACATTATAACCGAATTTAGGAATGGTATTAACGTATCGGCAGTGATCTTCAAAACGTTATTAAATTAGAAATAATATTTAAATGTGATAGTTAAACTATTTTTACGTCAAAAATCATCAAGAACGAACATTATACTATTTAAAGTGATCATTGAGTGCAAATGCGAGATATGCTAAGGCTACATATTCTCAAAATATTATATGGTAGCATATTATATGGTAGATAGCAAATTAATAAAAATAAATATTTGATATTAGTTCCAGGGTGTGAATAATAGGTAGTAGTATCTCTTAGTGATGTAAGCTTGAGCAACATATTTTCTTTGAATATAACAAGAGTTTTATGTGAGTTTTGTTTAATTATACATGGAATCACACATAGATATGGCAACTACTCAGTTTTAATTTATGTCATGGATTGATATTTACTTATTATGTGATAATAATTTTGTTTTTAATAATAATTTTGTTTTTAATCGGGCTTCATATTATGTGATGAAATATCTTATCATCTTACAAACAGAATCTAGTTGCTGCTTTGATGGGTGAGGATATATACTATATATTTTATCATTTCGAAACCACGGTCTACACATGAATCTAAGTGTTAGTTAAAATTGTATAATACTGCACTTCATGATGACTTATTCCATACTACATAAAAACTATATATAATACTATATAATATATATAATACTATATAATATATATAATACTACATAATATATATAATACTATATAATATATATAATACTACATAATATATATAATACTATATAATATATATAATACTATATAACATATATAATACTGCACTTCATGATGACTTATTCCATACTGAAGGTACATAAAAACTCATTGTGTAAATTAATAATGTTTTTTTATTACTGTCACCAATTACTCCAAGTATAACCTTCATCTACAGAAATCCAATTCTTCAATCTCAAATTTGTGTCTTTATATTTTAGTAGGATATTAAATTTCATTGCACATTTGAGTAAAATTTTTACAATAAAAAAGTTCATATATCTGCATATTACTGAGATACTTTTACTCGATGATCAATCACACTTTTATAGAATATAGAATATATAAATTAAATATATTTACAGTATGATAATATTTTTATAAAAAATAATTAAAATAAATTAAGCTCAATTTAATTGCGACCCTACTACTCTATATCAAATTTCTCATTGAAAATGTCAATATGTACCCTTATCAAATACAGCCATCAAATCAAAGATACTAAAAATATTCATTCTAAATTTAAAACCATCAATCAAATTCGCACTGTTTTATATCATCTACGATGTGCTGGTGTAACTAAATTAAGACACATAATAGACATAAAAAGAAATGTAATACAAACAAATTGTACATTATAGAGATAAAATTCGCATTTAGCACGCGTATTTGCAAATATACTTTATATCCTGAAGCTTCCTGTCGATAAGCAAACACACATTTCGCCATTTTTAAGACCTCATGTCAGTCAATAAAAAGTATTTTGATAGCGGGCATGAAAGGACGAGCGAGCAAATAGACTGAAGTAAATCAATGACAACGGTGAGAGATTCGCCAGTTGAAGTAGCACATTAAAGGGACAAAAAAAAAAGAAACAAATCAAGATATATACCATATATATCATTGTATGTATATATACGGAAACCGACTGAAATGACAAAGTGTAGCGAAAAGATTTACGACAAGTTGGCGTTATAGTTGGTTGTTACAAATTTTAATTTTGCTTTAAATTCTTCTGTCCTGCTGTGGATAAGATATCTTTACTATATTTATTTATAAAAAATGTTCATATTACAAAAAATAATTTTAATTAAATTTTTAACATCAACGTCAAAGAAAAATCTGAATGTGATGAATTTTTCAACAATTTATGTAGTTTAAATACAATAAAAGGAAGACAGAAAATTTACGCAGTTAATTACAAAATTAAATTAACAATTTAAGTTACTTTAAATTGACAAACTATCATAAAATTAAAGTGAAAACAGGGTACGTTTTCTGGTAATAAATAACACCACACTTAAACTTAGGCAATTTTTTCTTAATGGAAACATTTTTCCCATTAAAATATAAGAAACCAGTTAACTTATTAAAACCATATAAAAGCCAGTTAATTAGTTAATATTTTTAAAAATATTATTGAGTAAATTATTGCAA